AAAAAAAAAAAAAAAAAAAAAGGTAAATGGAAAATTTCTCCCATATTCTGACCAGGTACCATATGAGAGCTGGCTGGAAATTTTGTTGAAATCTTGAATTTTGGCCAAAAAAATGGCAAACATTTTTCCTATATTTTTGATCAGCAATAATGGCTAGAACAAGACAGGCACGGAAACGTCCAGGATTTTTTTTAATTGTCTTTGCTAGGATTGGTGGAACATTCCTCCCTCCCCCCCAGCCCCCCGTTAATGAAACATTGAGGGTCAGATTTTTTATTTATTTACTGGCCAGATTAGGAGTCTAAATGCACGCACTACTGTGCACCTAATTTGCATGTGCAATTACCACAGTTGCAGGTACAACAGGTAACTGGCTAACCAGATGCATTTAGGGATTTGCTCATCTGATGTCTGCATTCAGTTTCGGTAATTGGCCTTTTAGATTGTTTAGGGCATGGACTGAATTTAATCTGTGTCTTGTATCATGTCATCCGTGCTAAACAAATAATAATTTCATGAGCAAATTAGCACATCGTTGTTCTTCTAAAGGGTCTGAAGATTTGGCCCTAGAAGCAGTTTGTTAAAAGGGTACAATATCTCTCTTCTATTACCTAGTCTAGGATGTCATCTTTCTGGGAAAAGCTGGAAAGCTTGTCTCCCTCACCAACAGAAGTTGTTCCAATAAAAGAGATTATCCCACCCAGCCTTGTCTCTCTAATCTTTCTGGGAGTCAGTACTGAAGGTGTGTGCCTAGATGCAGGTCCACTGAGGGAATGGTATAGGCCTGAGGCAATGTTTCTTTCATACGCAAAAACCTTAATTAGGGATTTCAATTAGTGAGCACTAGGGCACATTACCTTGAAAATAAAAAGTCTAAAGGAAGGCGCTCCCTCCTCTTTTCATTTGAAATTGCCCTGAGAGCGACTGGTACCCCCAAATCAGTCACATATCTAGCCTGGTCTCTCCCATTTTCCTATCTGTGTATTCCTGAATTTCCTTCATAGTGAAAAACATTTTATTTTCACAAAGATATTGGTTGTATGTAAATTTATATGCCAGTTACACACATTCACTATTTTAGAACAAACATGAGGTTTCAGGGTGTAGCCATATAATTCAAAGACTGATCACATACTAAGATCCATTGTATTACACTGCAATTACATTAAAAGAGATTTCAGTTTAAAATAGCTTTGTTATATATTTTGTTTTATGCCATATGTTTGCAAGATGTGAAACTGCTTAGTCCTATCCCTTATGTTTTACATATATGTGTGACAGTGTATCAAATATTTAGCATATGGATACTGGCACCACATTAGGGTTATTTTCCTGTTAGGGGCCAGGCCCACCTTTTCTATTTCATTGGGTTTCCCCCACTATGTCTGCAAAATAGTGTCCCTCTTATTCTGCAGCTCTTTAGTGACCACAATTATTTTTTTACTTCTGTTAGCACATGATGCACACAATTGGTATCTGGAGTTCCAAACGAAAAGTCAAATTCTACCCTATAACAATGTCTAATGAGATTGCACAGGTGTAAGGGAGAGCAGATTTTGGCTTCAAGAAACCTTATTACTTATAATGATGGACAAAGAGGAGAGATTCTGGCTTGAGTCTCATTATCCCAGGCTAAGGCTGTGCTGGCATTTGGGGGAAAAAACCTCAATTTTAACTTGGGACCTGAGAAAATGTGATCTAGAGTCACGGTAAGACAATGCATGTGGAGCTCATGATGGCATTTTTTTACAATCTTGATTGGGACAGTACATCCATGGTATGTTCCTATTCCCCGGTTGGATGTGTGTCATTCTTAGAACCAGGGTTATGGTGTGAATTTGAATATTCTGCAGGATTTGTTTAGAATTCATGGTTTCACCAAACACACCTGCTCATAAACTCATTCATAAAATATTAACGGGAAGTCAGCACTAAATGCGGGCAATCACAGGTGAAGCTAATTCATTTACAAATGTGCACTATTATATTTTTCAGTAATTTTACATCTTTACCCAGGAGAACTATTTTTCTCACAAACTAAAATGCAAAACTCTCCAATATGGGGTGCTGTAAGAACCTTTCTGATCATGGTCGTGCATGTGTCACGGTCTTTGAAAAGCCCTTTTCTCTTTTAAAATGATGTAAAATGCTTTGTCCTGGATGCAAAGTTAAGAGTTTGACTTTTAAAGCCCTCCTGAGCTTTGGCTTTATAAAAAGTAAATAAATAAATTGTGCTTTCAGCTGTTTTAGCCCATCACCATGACTCACTTTCTGGGCTCAACAGCAGGGTGACCAGCAGGACTGATCTGAGCTGGGCAGAGGTCCAATAAGATCCTAGAGACAGAGTGAGCATGGAAAGTCACTTGTTAATGTCAGGGAGAGAAAACGATCTGCCCTCACCCCCTCCCTCCCAGGTGCACTAGCGTGGGAACGCTTGGAGTGTACATTCCTCAGTAGCAATTGGGGCAGGAAGGCTCAGAGCATCCCAGCCAAACCTTTCACCAGCACTCAGGAAAGGTAAATAAACTTTAGAGACAGGGAGCTGGTTAAAGCCCTTGTGCTCCTGAGCAGCTAGGACAGGGGGAAATGTTTGTTTACTACAGGAAACAGCTTATTTATTCCTGGACAATTTTCCTGGGGACCAGCACCTGCCACTATAAAAATTCTTTTTACAATACCGGCTTTGAGAGGCTGCCTGAAATTGTCCAACTGGGGACAGCAATAAAGCATTGTGAAATGATCTGATATAACTGTAGACACAGTGGACACTTGAAAAACTTCTATGTGTGCAGACATGCATGAAGTTCTTTCCAGTTCATTTTAAGTATAATTTACACTATTTGCCTGTGTCAGTAGTTTTGGACAAGTAGCATCCAGTATTTGCATTCACAAGTGACAGTGCACAAGATTTGCTCATACAAATCTCCAGATTGCACAAAGAGCGGCCATGTTTGAAAATTTTGGTCCCAAGTGAGTAATGAGTACCTTCCAAAACAAGTCAGATTTTTGTAGCTAATACAAAGCACATGTGCAGACCCTCTAAGAGGTCCGAGGAAACAAAACGTGGGCAGGAATATTACCAGCCTTACAGGACACCATTGGAAAATGCCTGTACTTTGTCAATAGCAGTTTTACAGCCATTACCACTAAATCTCACTGAAGTTAATTGGGACACAGTACAGCTGCTACTGCTGCAAGGGGACATCAGACCCAGCATTTCCTGACACAGATGAAGCTGCACTCAGTCCATGACATTCCCATATCTAGAGCTGGTGGTAAGAACAAATGGATGCTTTTCCAACAATACGCAGAAAGAAGGGTCCTTACTGCAGAACAGCATGCTTATTGTTCAGAGTTATTATAAGACTGAGATGCAGAAAGGAGAAAGTGGAAGCAATCATTAATTCAGTGACAGGGATGGTCAGGAAGAATCCTTTACATTTCAGACAGAATAAATATATAGCTTCCAGGGATGTGATTAGCAGCTGATAAATTCATTCTGGATTCCTCCAAATGCCTCAGTATGAACCTGATTCAGAGTTCACTTAAGTCAATGGGAGTCTTTCCGTTGATTCAGTGGGCTCTGGGTCAAGTACTAGATGAGGCTGATGTTTACAGCCAATTCCTCCAGCGCCCCTGTATGTCCTACCAGTGCTATTGTGGTTAAGGATTCATCCGTTTCTGCTGGCCCACCTACTCTAAGGGGAGTAGTAGCACCCTACAATGAAAACTGGCTCTGATAATCTTAGTATATGACATCTCAGCCCAGGATCACCTCTCCCTTCCCAACTTCCATAGATAATTGCTGTATCTAAATTTTAAAAAATTCAGTTTATGATTGTGTGTCTATTTAGGGCTTGATTTTTTTAAAATTAAAACCAAAAATAAAGCAGACCAGAGGACAAGTTATACTCAGTGTGTCTGTCCATCCCTTCCCGGTTGGGCAGGTAAACAATTCCCTTCCTCTTTCTTTGCAGAGCGTCCCTGGATAGTTTAGCTGTAAACCGAAAAGGGCACTGTGGTGACAACAGGGCCATAGTCTAGAGAGCAAAAGAAAGGACTGGAAGACAGAAGATGTGGGTTCTCTTTCCTCTCCACCACTAACTGATTATGTGACCTTGGGGCAGTCACTTAACTTTTCTGTGGTTTAAGTTTCTAAACTGTGTTGAGACTCTCAGATAAAGGGGCAAGATAAGTGCAAAGCATTATCATAATTTGTATTTTGCTTTCCCTCTCCCCGTTGAATCCTGGAGTAGTTTGTTCTGACTCTCTAACTGCTTGTCCTTTCCCTTCTATAACCACAAAGCCTGCACCCTTGGCTTTTTGAGGCTTGCACAGTCTAAGAAACAGTAGAAGTATTTTGTATATAGATCACAAGTCCTCAAGTCCTCAGTCCCTTAATGTTCATTAGTTTCATTTAGTCACAATTCTTCACATCACAGAGAAGTCACTGGCACTTTAAAATGTAGGTGCACTGAAGTCTAGTGAAGGACAAAATTCCAGGTGAGGAGAAAGAGGAGAAAATACATTTTTTTCATCCTGTCCATTTCAGTGCAACCTTCATATTGGACTCAAAGTGGTGTGTCACTACTCTCAGTGAAAATGAAACTACTCTCCCCTTGGATATTTTAGATTACTTCATGTATAGGAATGACGTGACCCACTTTATATCAGCAACACAAAATCAGTTCCTACACACTATGCCCCTCACTGTAAAAAGCAACAGCACACTGGTACATAAAACTGAAATTATTGTGGCATATTTCCTCTCTCCAGCTGCCAGTACATTAGCTCTAATCATCACTTCCAGCAATGTTTTCTGGGCAAGCACTTTTAGATCCAGATTATTAGAGCTACTGCATAACCCAAACTGTAGTGCAGATTGCCCTCCCCACCTGTTTTTTTTCTTCCTGTAAGGATTTTGAAAATGAGGCCACATCCCCCATCCTCTTGGTGAATGACACAAGCAAGTATTAGAAAATGAATACTATTCACTAAGGTCAGGGGCTGCAAATGCCACAGCATAAAACAGACAGAATATATAAAGTATCAAGAAAGATGCTGGAAGTGCATCACTCCCAGTTCAGGTATCTGACTGACAGCACCAAGATGTTCAGCAAAAATCAAATTCCACGGCATCAAAAAAATGGGCTAACAAAAAAATACAAATGAAATTCCAATATTTTAATGTACTTTATGAGTCTTAGGACTCCACATCGAAACCAACAAATAAAAAGCAGTGTTACCAATTCTTGTGAGTCTCATGATATCTGGTGTTTTTCTTAAAGCCCTGTTCCTGGAGTCAAAGTAATTAGGTTGAAACTCAGGTTTTACAGGGTGTGTGGGAGTGGAGTAAATTTCTGGCCCTCCCCTCATGATTGTCGAGAAAAGCTTGAAAATGTGACCCAAAGCTGTGTAAAAATCTCAAGCTTTTTAAGCCAATCTGATTATTTGAGTTTTGGAGCCTGACTCATCATCTGTGAGAACTTGGGGTTGTCAATATTGAAAATGGTTCTTCCACACTCAGCATATTTCAGATCAAAACAACAGGGATTTGGTACTCTCCTGTTTTTCTTCATACTTCCAACAGATGGAACCTGATTTTACTGCCTGGTGCTTGAAGCTGCAGGCCTTAGTAGACTATAAACTGCAAGAAAACTAGCCATACTGACCATGCATCTGGTAGGTGTACGGTGCTTGTCCTGTTGTTGGGGTACTGAAGGTGGAGCCATAGCTAAGAAACCCACTCTGTCCTGGAGAATGGCTCAGACTATCTTCTGTTTTGATGCCTTTGGGGGATATAAAAGGAACCAAACGCACAATGTTAGGGTTCTGCTTGATCTCATCATATACAGGTATAACAAAAAATTTCAATGTTTATGACATTTTAGCTAGAGTTGGAGCTGATCAAACTATTGATTTTTAATATTCAGTTTGGATTTAACCTTCTTTTTTATTAGCAAACAAATCCCAATTTTTGAAAACATTTTCATTATTCGCTAGTGTTAGCCAAGTATTTTTCTGAAATAATGTATGGCCTATATCAGGGATCGCCAACCTTTGGCACGTGGCTCACCAGGGTAAGCACCCTCGCGGGCCGGGCCGGTTTGTTTACCTGCCGTGTTGGCAGGTTCGGCCGATTGCAGCTCCCATTGGCCGCGGTCCACCGCTCCAGGCCAATGGGGGTGGCGGGAAGTGGTGGCCAGCACATCCCGAGTCCCGTGCCGCTTCCCGCCGCCCCCATTGGCCTGGAGCGGTGAACCACGGCCAGTGGGAGCCATGATCGCCCGAACCTGCCAACGCAGCAGGTAAACAAACCAGCCCGGCCCGCCAGGGTGCTTACCCTGGTGAGCCACGTGCCAAAGGTTGCCGATCCCTGGCCTATATGTTCACCACAAACTATTTGTGTTAACTATATTAAGTAGTCATTATTGTGTGATTGGTTGCCATGATACAGTTTCTGCTCTCTGAATGGATGACTAACTTAAAGACAGGAAAATAATAAGTAATCCACTTTCCAGAAAGTTTTTTTGGACAACTAAACACTTGTGCTTCAAACTTCGTTAAACTTTTGCAGTTGTGAACATTCTGAGGGGTTCTCAGAATGCTGGTAATTGCTAACAACGTGGTCATATGAATTATAGTAAAATAAACTCAGTTAAACTTCTATTAATGTAAACATTGATGATTGAAAGATGTTTTTAAAATTAAATTATTTCATCAGCTCCATTTAGAATGAGATAACGCAATATTTGCCAACAGATCATATTGGAGGGATATCAGTTAGGTGTGAACACTAGATAGTCACATATAGTTGACAATAGTAAAGCTGAGCAATGCACAAATCCCTAGTCAAAATCGCCTTGGTACTAAAATCAGGCAATTAAAACGCATGTCAAATCACAGGAGGAGCGGCACTAACTGAATTTGACATTGTAAGATGGAACTTTTTCAGGTGGTGAAAGGGTCTCATATTTTATCACCCGGGCCTGCTGAGATCATGCTGCTGTATTTTTAAAGTAAACGGCTGAAAGGTGTGTCTTTTTTACAAATCTTTTGGCCTCTGCCTCTTTGCATGTGTATTTGCACAAAACAAAATATGGTCACGAAACACACCCTGAGCGCCATGGTTAAACAAAGAGACTATTGATGGTCTGCTCTTGGATTTATGAGCTGCCCAGTTGCTGCCATTTTTGTGCACTTTTGGGCAAACCTTCCAAAGCGACATCAAATTCATATGGCTTCAGCCAACCAAGCTGTTGCTGTCTATCTTGGCCAATCCCTTCACCCTGAGAAAGCACAGTGAGTCTGCGCTCACTGAGGGTGGGAGCAAATTTTACTGAATAGCTTCTCCTGGGACAAAGTCACTTATTTCTAAGGAGAAACAATCAATGTTAGATGAAATCCATGCAATTTAAATGCAGATTACCAACTGGATAACAACATTCCATACTGAAATCCAGGAAATTTGTTTGGACAATGAGTGAGCGTGGGCTGTGGTAGGTGTCAGGCTCCATTATTGCTGGTAGAGTCTGTCTGCTAGGGGGTTTGCGGGTGAGTGCAAAGAGAAGCCGTTTTTCATAACATCACATTTGTTTTTCAATTACATCAGCACCATGCATGTGAACACTCAACCTATTACAGCCCCGACCACAATTAATCTTCAGTGACTGGGCCTTTCTGGAAGTCTAAAAATTGTTGTCAGACAGTGAAATAACTTAGCACCAAATTAATTTCCACACAATGCTCTGTTTTGTCTAGAAACTGGCCTAGTTTTATATTTGTGTCTAAAAACAATACTGCTTCATTGTTCTTGGTCATCAGCCAGGTAGGATTTCTCATATACAGTATCATATATATTATTGAGGGTGGGGGCAAGGGAGGGAAACCACTGTTCAAGGATGGTAATAGGTCATCTACAGGATTTATAAGCAGTATGTGGGCCTGACATGTGTGTGCCCTAAAGACGCTAGCCAGTAGCAAATGGCCATATTTTCACCTGCTCTAACAGGGACAACTGTTCAGAGTTTGCCTTGGAAGCCATCCAGCAGATACATTTATGTTTGTAATTCCAGAAAATCAACTCAAAACATTCCTCTAATCGTCCTGATAGATTTTACTTTCCCAACCCTGTTACCCAGGCCTTTCAAGATTGTTAGGTTGAGTTTTCCTTAACTAAAAACGCTGTCAATAGCTGTGTAACAGGTTTGTGTTTTTACTGCTGTATGTTGGGAAGCAATACTGTACTTACCAAATAAACAAGGGCATGGGAGCTCAAAGACTGTCAAAACTGACTGTAGGATTGGAAACAAAACCACACAGCAGTTTTGGGTAGTACTGAACGACTCAAAAGGGGCTCACGGTTTCAGCTGGGGATAAGCATCCACAAGTCTGGATGTCCACCCTTTCCAAGCCATTGCTAAACAACATGAACCTCTTTGGTCTACAAAACTGGGTAAGAAGTTTCCTAGGAAGAGTCTTTCCCTGTAGGATTTTAGGGATTTCCACATGGGGCTATGAAAACCAGTTTTGTGAAAAATATATTTGAACCTCAAAAACATGTTTGGTTATGTTTGGGTGATGGTTCAGCTGTGGTTCTAATTTTATCCAACCTGAATTACTAACTCAAACTTTGGTTGTTTAGGCCTCTCTATCATTTTGTCTTATTTACAGTCAACTCTGAGTATGCTATAAGCATGTGAATAGCACAATTCCAGTAGCAAGTAGATCTACTGAGGGTTTACAGTGTGACTGAAAATAATCAAACCCACCCAATAGATCTCACATGACATCAATTTGCACTGAATGGAGACTGGCTCCCCTACAATTTGCACACACAGAGGAGGTGGAACAGATTCTTAGATGTTGAAAATGGTAAGACAGCCTCAGGAAAAAAACCTGCTTTCCATTATCTTTACTATACTGTATGTCTGAAAACATTTATTGTATATACATTTAGACTATATATGCAATATTTAATAATAATATCTTGCAAATGTATCTCTCATCACAAAGCATTGTGTAGTACAGAGATCATTTCACCCACCACTTGTTAAATTTACTCATCTGCAGCGTAACAACCATTCTGTATCATCAATGATACACAACAGTTTTTAGGAAGGAAATGAAGACTGGCTCATGTAACTGAAACTGCAAAGGGAACGTAGAGAGGCAAAGCATAGTTTACAAAAGTAGCATTTTTTTGCCACCTCCCCCTGCAATTTTGCAAGACTGGACATACAGGTCTGGATCCTCTGCTGATGTAAAGCAGCATAGCTCCCACTGCAGTCCAGTGAGGCGATGCCAGTTTGTGCCAGCTGAGGATTTACCCCAAGGTCTCAAGTGGTCAGAGCCTTATTTCCAAGATGGTACCTCCAAGAGAAAAGCACTTTCTAGGGGGCTGGGCTCAGTACTGAGTCACAGGAAACTTCACCAGCTACTGACTCCCTACTGTCACTCTTTTCAGCACCAGGATTTTTCCAGGATATCTCCTATTCTGCTACTGACCAGGTCCAACCGTACTTAGTTTATAGGATTATAACTCAGGCTAGTATGTGCCAATCCACTTGAGCTGAATATCCGGAGAGTACAGAGGAAAGTCTTTCTAAAACTTTTGACAAATTTGAATTTTTCTCTAAGCCAAAAAAGAAAAGGAAAAAAACCCCATTCACTACAGAATTAAAGAGTTTTTGACTAGAAGGTTTAATCATTAAGTATGTTCTTTTTGGGTCAGAAGGATGAGACATTCTCTAGTGAAAGCAGAAGCTCTTAGAGATAACCTAACAAAGTAAGATTACTCACTGTAGGAGGGTATTCCATAAGGTTGTCCTGGTGGAGGGTATGCAGCATAAGTAGCGGCTTGCTGGATTCCTGCACTGTACTGGGTCTGTCCATAGGTTGCCATTGTTGGAAAAGATGGGACTGTCACTATATGGGGATGATGTCTGTTCAGAACAAGAAAACAGATGCTCTATGGCAATACTAATCGCATATGGTTTTCTAGAGTAATCTCACTAATCTACCAGTGACTAGAATGGCTACACGTGGTGTTATGCTGTATATTACAGGCATATAAGATATGCCACACTGGGTCAGACCGTTTTGCTCTAATACCCTGCTTCTGGCAGTGGCCTACAGAGATATCACTAAGTGAGAGGGCACAATGCCATCCTAATCTTTGGTCAGTGCTATAACCTCGGGCTGCGCGAAATACTTGCAACAATTTTAAAAAGTGACAATCTGTGATTTTCAGGTTTCATTTTAAAGTCACAAAACCAATCCAGTTTCATGGAACACCTTTGAAATGTCACATTTTCCTCTATAGTCACTTATAAATGATCCTATGTTCAAAACGATAAGATCTGCATTCCCAGGGTAGAAATGAGTTGTATGGAGAACCTCCAATTCTCTGACTTCCTGTCCAACTTGATTAAGAAATGGTTTTCTGGGGCTAAGGCCAGGTCTACCCTACAAATGTTTGGAGGCACAGCTGTATTGATCAGAGGTGTGATGAGGAATTCTCTGACTGACATAGCTGTGCTGGCAAAAGCCCCTAATATAGCATATTGCTAAAACTGTCCTTTTCTTGGTATAGTTTATTTGGCTTGGGGGAGGGGAAGGAGGTGAAATAAGCTATACTGGGAAAAGCATGAGAAGCTTCACCAGTATAACAGCATCTATTCGAGGAGTGATTTTGCTGGGATAGGATACCAATATAGCTATACCAGCAAGGGGCTCCTACGGCAGATCTGGCCTGCGACTTGCAGCAGAACAGGTGCAAAAGCTGAAGGATCACGTTCTTCAGGCTTTTCAAGGTTGCAGGGGCCCCTGCAAAATGGTTAATCAGCAAAACAAAGTTTATAATCTACAGGACTTGAGCTCTCCTGAATGCTGTCAGACATACTCACTCTGTGGAGTAGAGATGGAGAGGACACTGTGGTGATGCTTTGCTGTTACCTGAAAAACAAAATTAAAGTGTCTCTGGTTTTCAGTAACATTCTGTTATATGGCTAAGTCGATGCCACTGTTCTGATCCTTGCTAGACACAGAAATGTCTACAATAACTAGAACAATATTTGTATTGAAATCCTCAAAGACTTTTAAGGCAATTATGAGAAATGACAGGGTAACTTTCCATTTTAATGCTAATTGATAAAATCAGCTTTATGTGCACCCAGGAACCTATCAACTGATTGATGAATCTACCAGGTTTTTCTTGATATAGGTATGGAGCCACATAATGATGGTAGGCCCAGTTCTGCAGCCATCAGCAGTCCCAGTGATTTCACTACCACCACTCATGTTGACTTCTCAGCAATGCATGATATCACTAGGACTACTCATGTGACAAGGGGTGCAAAAACAACCTCTTCAGTTGTGAAATGACATTTACAAAACACACCATGTTCTGCCTTTAAAATTTCTTTTGTATTCCCACCATTCAGTGTCTCACTTTCTTTAAATGCATCAGGACAAAGGTTCTTTAAGTTTTCATCTCTCCTTGTACTGGAGCTTGGGACGTACTGGCCACTACTTCCAGCAGCTCCCATTGGCCTGGAGCAGCGAACCGCAAACGCGGCAGGTACACAAACCGGCCCAGACCGCCAGGGGCTTTCCCTGCACAAGCGGCAGAACAAGTTTGGGAACCACTGAGCTAGGACATACCCGCAATGCTACAAGAGAATTATCCTCATTAGGAAGTCATCTAAAATGATACGACTTCAGTGTGTTCAGCAATGCAAAAGTTAGTGAATTAAACATTTTAAACATGTTTTATTTAATGAAATATGCAAATATGTATAAAATCTAAATATATGGAAATAATCCTATGGGCTCAAGTAACTTGTCATTCCATTAATCTAGAGAGAACATTTCCAAAATATACAGCTTGATGTTATATAAAAGATTCCTCCTTCCCGGTCTCCTCTCCAGCTGTCTTCTTGTAATTAAATTATCCTTCCCCCCCCCCGCCAGCTTTTTTCATGGTGGTTTATGTGGTTTTATCATTTTTGTCCTAAAATTAGGATTAAATTGAGGTATTAACAAAAAAGACATTAAACCCAATGGAATTTTTTAATTACAGACTTAATAAAAATTTATTTTTATCTGTTGTAATTTTTCTGTTTCCTTATTTATGGGGAGCCATGAACATGTTAGCAGAGGAATGGGTACTTGATAAACAAAATTATTATTAATAGTAATTAAAAGGGAAATTATTCTCTCTTTCTAAATTTTAAATGTGTATATTCTCCTTCAATAATATTATTACTACAAATGAGTAAACAGATGCATTTCCTGAAAAATAATTATTTATTAGAGCTGATCAAAAGATGAGAACATTTCTATGAACATTTTTGCAAAAAAATTCATCCCTTTTTTGGTCAAAGTTTCGAATAGTCTAAGAAAAGTTTACTCAAAAAATCAACATTCACAAAATTTATACAAATTATTTATTATTTACTCATCTGTCTATTTATATACTTGTGTCAATGTTTTTATAGAAGTTAGAAGTCAACTAGTTTAAAGCTTAAGTGACTATATTTAAGTCCTTATTGCCATATTTAGGCATCTAAAGAAAAGCTGCCTCTTTCCAGAGATGCTAAGGTACCTATTCTTCTCATTTGCTGTCACAACACCCTATCATTCAGGCCTGAAACCTGGAAGTCATCTTTGACTGCTCTCTCTCTCTTGCCCCACACATTGAAGACATGCCCAGATTCTCCCACTTCCTTCCCACACAATGTCTATGAGACATCCTTTTTTTTTCTATGCCTTTCAATCTCCCAGTTTGATTACTGTAACCTCTTTCCTTCTCGTTTCCCTGACACATCACCTGCCCTCTCCACTATCCAGGACATAACAAACATAGCTCCTGAGATCATATTCCTTGATAATTACTCAGACTGTATCACCTCCCTCTTTGAATCCCTACTCCACTATGTGACACTTTCTCCCCAACCTCTTCTGCATCTAATACAGCTTCTTGTCCTTCCCTTCAGAGCCCTTCCTAATTCTACTCCTCCCTACCATCCTCCACACCTCCCCTAATCCGCTTCCCTCTGCCATGAAGTCACTGGCAAAACTCCCATTCACTTCAATGGGGCCAGGATTTCACCCCTCTGTTAGTTCACTGCCCCCACAACCATCTGCATATCTTCTTCCAGGCTATCGGTTACACATAGAAAGCTCTTCCTCTGGTAACCGACAGATCAGTACCCTCTCCACATCCAAATCCACCCTAAAGGACCAGGTCTACCGTGATGTCTAGGAGACACTTGTCAGCTGATAATGGCAAAGTAACTGTCGAATCAGGTCGTATGCCTTTTAAAAAGGAAAACCATTGGGCTACCTGACATTGTATTTAGTGATGCATCTAATCACCACCTTGACTACTTTATACTTCGTTCCCTTTTTGTCCTACCCTTCATTAGTCTGCCTGTACCTCTCATATTTTAGAATGTGATGTTTTCCGGGCAGGGTCTAGCACATTATCTGTTTGTTCAGCACATACTGCCTGGGGGGTACCGATGGAAACAAAGTAACAGTAATAACTCCTCCAATGGCCTTGGACAAATTGTTTAGGTTAAGGTTGGATTCTCACAGCAACATGAAGGAATCTGATATCCCCCTTGGAGTTGAGCACCTAAATCCCTGAGGCTTTTTTGAACATCTCAGCCCTAACCTCTCTGCCTCAGATTCTCCATCTGTAATATGAGGATGATACTTACCTACCTCATTGGGGTGTGACTGTAAGGATTATTTCATGTTTGTAAAATATTTAGACAATAAAAAGATATATTACTGATAAGGAGATATAGGAGAAAGATTCTCTTTAAAAAAGTTGGGCTTACCTGATTCAACAACGATTTCACTATGAGCAATTTGCTTGGACTTACCTGCAAGAAAGTTTTTAGTACAATTAGATTTTATATTCTGAAAATAAATTCTTACTTTTTCTATAGCCCAGACCCTCTTTCCCCTATTTCCTATAGATTCTGATCCTTCCAGCAAACCTTTTGAATTGGTGGTCATTACTATACATGCTTCAATCCAACTTAATTCCTAAAGGCTCAACAAACACAGATACAACATGTGGCTTCTAACATACACAGCCAACATACAGTGGCTTCTAACACCCTGCAAATAAAGGGTTAAACACGAGAGTTAAACATAATAGTCAGTGCCTTTTGCTAACTCTGCTCCAACAGGAAGGCTGAGGGATCCTGACCACAGCAAACAATAGCTGGAATTGTACTGGCGAGAACTAGTTTGGCTGCATCATTTGCCAATAATTTTTAAAACAGATTTAACATTCTTCTGTTTCCTTCACTTGAACAGTATAATGGGGTAGATGGCCGGGGGGATGGAGAGGGGGAGGAGGAGGAGAGTAGATAAGTTTCCATCATAGCCTCAACCACTGAAAGAATTTGTCCTTGGTACCTGCCAAATATGAAACTCCAGACCACAGAGCTGGGGACTAACTGTTCAGAAATGACAGCAATGATCTCAGCTCGACATGAACTGTGGCACAGCAACTGCTTTGGTAAAATGTTTCATATTTGCATTCTGGCTGATTAGGAACGGCAGCCTCTGGGCTTTCCACCCCTTCTCTCTTCCAAGCAGCAACAATACGACTAGAACTCGGAGTTCAAATTAATGCTGCCCTTAGGGGTTGATGGATTGGTGGGGGCCAAAAATAAAACCGCCCGCGTTGATTAAAATACACTTTTATACACACGTTATTCTGATGTGCATGTATCTCTATAATTCCATTTCTAATTGCATTCAAATCAGATTCAAACACAACCGGACTTGTTACAAAAACATCAAATAGAAATTTTAACCGCTTCTTGCATCAAAGGACTAATTCTTACAAGCACAGGCCTCATACCTGGTCAGTTCCTTTTGTTCTTATATATACCCCTGATGCTAACAGTCTAAAGTTAATAAACCAGAAGCAGAAGAGGCAGCCTACCTTCTATGTCATCTGGAGCCGTGGCATAAATGTTAGAAAGGTTAAGCTTCAGTCTATCGTGGCACTCTCTATTTACTGTCAGGCTGGGTGATATCACTAGATCTAGCATTTCCTTATACCTGAAGGAAAACAAAGGAAAAATATAATTTATTCATTAATTATGCATGCTTACTAATGATTCCATTTTTTCCCTAAGAGTATAAATATTAAAGCTGATTACCTAAACCCAGGCTTCATATAAATTCTACATAATAACATTCACCAAAGTTTTCATCAAAGGGAAATGCTGAATTAAAATGAAGTATTTGTTTCCTTGGAGATTACACCCATTTGATTAATGTTTCCCTCTCTTCCTGGATTTTGCCATCACAAAATTAAATTTCTGAATCTCTTAAATGCCGTCCGAACAAGCAATATATTTAAGTATTAGCCACGCCTCCTTATGTATGCAGTGGTATCTGATAAGGCTCTGGGAATAAGAATTAAGGGCTGAATATTGAAGCTGAGGGCAGTTAACAATACTATCCAGCCTTAAGATACAACAAGAAGAAAGTTATTACTTGTGATGGGAGAGGTTCGAAGGTCCAGGTTAATCATGATAACTTTTGGATGTTTCTCTGAAAGCCACTCCAAACCTCTCTGCTGTTCTGACTATCAGGTGGCAAAGTTCCACAAGCACAGTCTCTCTCTTGAAAGTCACCTGACTTTGGTTAAGCTGGAAATCCACAGGAGCAATTGCTGTCATGTGGGGTTCAAGTTTTCAGATGAAACCAGATATATGTGTATCTAAAACATTCACACAATGGTAATAACAACAGATCAGATAAACTAGTTCAGATAAAATAAGGACCACCACCAGGAACATTGCTCAAAACACACACACACACACACACACACACACACCCCCAAACACTACATTTCAAACTTAAGTGCCTAACTTCAAGCACCTACATTTTCAGAAGTGCTCCCAAGACCTCCCTTTGAACTACAGTTGCTCGCCACCTTTGGAATTTTAGGCTACTTATTTATGGGTTTAGGTGCTTAACTTTGGGCACCTAAGTTTGAAAATTTTGGCCACTGTGATCGGGGTAGACAAAACTAGGCATCCATATGTCACATTAGAAAGGTGCAGGCAGTTTTACATAAAATAAGTTTCATAGACATCAATCTCTTACAAAGATCAGCAGTAGGAATAAGCCACTTGTTTCCTGTGCACACATGGAAACCTCCCCTAAGTTTTGAACTTTGAAGAAACCCAGTGGCCTACGAGGGAAACCCAGTGGCCTTAGAAATTCCAGAGCTCAATGGGTAAAGTTGAACTGTTTACAAAAACATGATACCATAGAAATCTGTTTTGCATTGTCAAATACACCAATTTATTCTGTAGCATTTGATTCAGGCCCCAAACAAACTATGCAGACCTAAGGATTCAAAGACTCTGCAATATTTTTTTTCCTTTGTACTTCGCAGCCATACAAGCAGCTTGCACCATTTGTCAGGCTTGTCCTCACTCCAGTCCCCCAGAGGCTATAGCATTAAGAGAAAGCATGATTCAGAAGTGTTCCAGAGCAGGGACAGGGAGCAGAACCTGGAAGATGACAGCTGGGGTGGATAGGGAGTGGGGGGAGGGGAGGAGAGGTACTTCAAAAGGCTCCCACTGCCTTGAATGGATCAAAAGCATACGGAGGGTCCCAAGTCAGGACCTGAACCAGCTCACCTTTCTATTTACCACTGAACACATTGTTCAGCTAACTCAGCTGCGGACAACTCCCTGCTCCATGATAAGGATCTGTCTATTCAGTAGTATAAAGGCAGCAGATGGTGTGGCAGCGACTGTGGAACTGGCATTAAAATGCATAGTACAGTACACTTAGAATGTCATGAAGTTAAAACTTAGCAACATACAAATCTGAAGCCTGGACATTGTATTTCTGTTAAGCTAGACTAGGCACTTCCATTTGGTCTATTCTTTTTTCTTTTCTTTTTTGCTTAAAGGAAAATATCAGCATGTAAAGTGACCAGCCTGGAGAGATCAAGAACAATAAACTACGTACTTTTCATCTGAGCACTTCCAATCATTTTACAAACAGCACAAGCCCCTGGGAGGTAGGTTAATATTGTTATACGCCAGGGTAAGCTAGGCACAGAGAGGCGAAGTGTGTTGCTCAAGACCAAAAAGCTGAGACTGAAACAGAATTCAGGAGTTCGAACTTCAAACTCCTCACTCTAACTACGCAGCAACTGCTCCCCATCAATTCATACATCTATCCATTAGGGATGTGTACAGTGCCAACAATGGATACCAGATAGCTTGAATATTTGCATGGGATTTGGATACCAAAAATGTTCAGCCGCATCAACTCCATCTTCACAGCCCCTTCTCCCTTTCCTTCCTCCAACCTGACACCTTTGGCTTCCCCTCATCTGCCTCCCTGGACTGCCCACGCACACCATTACCTTCTAGTACAGTACCACACGTGCAGAATCAAATCTTGTGCTTCAGCAAAGCCACCTAACTGTGCACAAACTGGGTAACTGAAATCAGCAGAAACTGGCCAAATCTGTATGTCCCCTGCTCCATAACTGCAGTGTCTTACAGATACTTTTATTAAAAAGAAAACCTCTCATGTACAGTATTAATATTTTGCATTTGGATTGCCCCTTTCACTTGAGGACCTCAAAGCATTTTACACAGCCTCAGAACAGCTTGGCAAGCAAAGTTAAATGCTGTTCTTGTTTTACACACGAGGAAACTGAAGCACAGCAAGACAAAAATCAAAAGATGTGTGTGTGTGGGTGGGGGGGTTAAATACACCCACAAATAATTGTCTGTGCAGTCAATTGCATTTAGATTTATCTAGCTATCTGAGTTATATGTGGGTGCAAAACTGGCCTCTGGCTTTAAAAATCTCTCCCTAAGTGACTTGTCCTAGGTCACAAAGTGAGTCAATGGCAGAGCTGGAAATGAAAACCACGAGTTCTGACTCTCTAACCTACACAATCCAGCGAACTACCCCGACAAAGGCAAACAGCACACTTTGAAGAAACAGTGAAATACACCCTGGTTCCACCATTATTAACAATAATAATCTCATAATGTATAACAGGAGAGCCAGTTACATTTTTGCATGACACACACAAGATTTTACATTTTCCTTTGGTTAGCAGTGTGATGATCTGTTGGATTGTCTTACATTCACTTGCACAAGCTCAAGAGCAAAGGCAAACATGGGTTCCCTCACTGCTTATGAGATGAAATATCCCCTTTGCTGCTTTTCATAACAATAGTGCAAGTTTCCTCTGTGCCACTCCAGCAACTTAAAGGGAGGGGAGATTTCCTGTGATCCCCCAGTTGGGGATTTCCCTAGTGGGGGAAACCTTGGCAGTTGGAGAGCTGGTGTAGCTAGCTCCCATACTTCTCTCTTGGCAATCCCTAGTCCAGAGGGCATGCCAAGGTGGGAAGGAGGACTAGCCAGAGTGTGATAGGCTCTGACTATCTCCAGAAAGCTGGCAAACCATTGGGAACTGTTGTCATCTTGTGCAAGTTAGAGCAGTCCCTCGGAACTAGGGAGCTGTAACTGACTCCCTTGCAGACCACTCCACTCTGCTGTGCCCAGTACAATGCAGAATCTGTCCCTGCGTATTTTAAGAATGCCAGTGACCAGAAGGCAGAGTCCTGAAATGTACTGGAGAAGTTTAAAATATTGAAAGTGCATCCATTAGACAAATCCGCCGGCAAAGCCTTTAGGTTACTGTATGTTTGTCAGGCTTAACACTAGACTTTCTATTCCATTGTGAAGTGATGTCCAACTGTCTCATTTATATTTTAAAATCTCTACACCAGAATTAGGAAGGGGAGAAAAAAATATTTAGTTCCAGATCCCAGCCAAGATTGGGATGCTCTATACAATTTCTCAAACACCATGCACCCTTCAATGAACTCCAAAATCCCATTATTCCTGACACTGCCCAGATTGTTGCCAAGTGAATGGGAGCAGATGTTTAAAGGGGGGGGGGGGATCTTTTATAATGATTAATGCACTCTAATTACATCATTGTTCAGGGATTTCATTAGCCATTGCCTGATTGATGATTTTTCTATTGTTTTTCCTCTGCTCGCTTTTATAATACCAAAGTCATATCCCACTTCCCAGTATTTGCTCTTTATCACTTTTTTTTCAAATGTTTCAACTCCTATTTTTCTTAAAATTGTATATTTTGGCATGTGCAAAAAGTTACTGCATGTAAAATGTGTATGTGTGTGTGCAAGTTTATGCTTTTGAGTTCTATTACCTCTCTCACACACAGTTACCAGTGTGTGCAAGTGTATCTTGCTAAAACAACATCTACATTTTGAAAATTTTATGCCAACAATCTAAAGAAAATCTTCAGTAAAACAGGGGAGCCTGGATGAACTTGGGCTCAACAAAATGACATCTGAGAGTGCAATCTGTGAAATGACGGGGTTTATTTATTTATTTAATACTGCAGACAACAGTTTCTGGGTTGAATAACATACAGGAGAATCAGCAGTAATGGTTGCTGGATCTGTGCTTTGATTAAAACCAGCAATGGTAGCATGTTGGGCTGAGAAACATCTGGAAGAGCTTTTGGTTTTTATAATCTTTAAAAAAAAGAACCATGTGTGAATTTGGTGCTCAGCTTTTCCATTAGAATCCCCTTCTCAAAAAGCAATATTTTGCCCTGAAAGTCGGCCCACAGTATCTCAGCCAAGAAGCAGAAACTTTTCTTTTACTAATGTTTAGAAAAAAAACTTTTCGGTCATTTTGAAGTTAGAGAAGCCAAATTAAACATTTTAAGGTTTCAGATTCTTGGCTGAGGTGCCAGGGTAACTTACAAATCACATTTTCTTTTACAATGATGTTTGAAGGCTGCAAATCCAGGCCCCAATTCAAGGCATTCAAAAACGTGCCTAAGATTAAGTAAGGGAGTAATCCTATCTCTATTCAGCAAAGCACTTAAACCCGTGCTTAAGTGCTTTGCTGAATTGGGGCCACAGCGTGCAGACCGAGCCAGACAAGCACTCTACTACTATGGTACTGAGGATCAGACAGATAGTATTCTGAAAAGGTGAAACCAAAAACCAGCCTAGATATTG